GACAATATGTCCGACCGGCAAACAAAAGTGCGATAGCAGCAAAAAACCAGCCGGTGGCCTCTAGCCACTGCCGGTGGGGTGTGGGATGGTCCACAAGCTCCCTGCCTCTCAAAGGCAAGATGCAAGTTTTGTGCAAAACCAGACACTAAACGGTTGAGTTCGGAGATCCTGAGGTAGGGCACGCGAGCCGAGACCTCCGGGAACTCCAAACGAACACAAACGGATAATCACCGAGTGTTCCAAGCGGTGACGTCCAATTCTTGAGGACGGTCAAAAATGGGGTGTCTACAGTTGCCCCTCTTTGACAGAACTCGAAAGTCATAACAATGACGGGAGTGAATGTCAAAGCCCAGAGACGACCCATTTTTGACAAGGTCGAAGACTCAGACAAACATGCAAGACAAACAAGTTATGCGCCCGAAGGCAGGGGCAAAATGCAAGACAATGCAAAGAGCCGGACATAACTTATGATCATGCAAAGAAAGCTGTAACGAAGCAAACACGCGACAGTTTTAAGCTAGCATACACCAAACTACACTACAATGCAGAAAGGATGTAAGAGAATTATGTAATTCTCAATACTTCTCGCTCGGAGGATACAATACCTGTGCCGTTCGTCTGGTTGCACCAGCCTCAAATGAGCCGTACGTACAATATCGTGCCTGCAAAGAAAACAAACTTAACAGGTACAATATTGTTAACAACATGCATGGATAGCGTACTTGAAATGCGCGATAGCGCAAAGCAAGTGGGGAGCATAACAATGCTGTGAAAATACAAACATGTAAGTGGAGCATGCGGTCTACGCTGGTAATGTAATTAACATGCGGTCTACGCAAGTAAGGAAATGATTACAAACATGCGGTCTACGCAGGTAATGTAATTAATAAAGATGCGGTCTACGCAATCAAAACATGCGGTCTACGCAGGTAACGAAATTAGTTAAACATGCGGTCTACGCAATCAAAACATGCGGTCTACGCAGGTAACGAAATTAATAAAGATGCGGTCTACGCAATCAAAACATGCGGTCTACGCAGGTAATGAAATTAATAAAGATGCGGTCTACGCAATCGAAACATGCGGTCTACGCAGGTAATGAAATTAATTAAACATGCGGTCTACGCAATCAAAACATGCGGTCTACGTAGATAATAAAGGTGCGGACTACGCAAGTAATAAAGGTGCGGTCTACGCAATCAAAGCAAGCGGTCTACGCAGGTAATGAAGTTAATCAATATGCGGTCTACGCAATCAAAACATGCAGTCTACGCAAGTAATGAAATTAAGATGCGGTCTACGCAATCAAAGCATGCAGTCTACGCAAGTAATGGAATTAAGCATGCGGTCTACGCAATCAAAACATGCGGTCTACGCAGGTAATGGAATTAAACATGCGGTCTACGCAATCAAAACATGCGGTATACGCAGGTAATGAAATTAGGCATGCGGTCTACGCAATCAAAACATGCGGTATACGCAGGTAATGAAATTAGGCATGCGGTCTACGCAATCAAAACATGCGGTATACGCAGGTAATGAAATTAGGCATGCGGTCTACGCAATCAAAACATGCGGTATACGCAGGTAATGAAATTAGGCATGCGGTCTACGCAATCAAAACATGCGGTCTACGCAGGTAATGAAATTAAGCATGCGGTCTACGCAATCAAAACATGCGGTATACGCAGGTAATGAAATTAGGCATGCGGTCTACGCAATCAAAACATGCGGTATACGCAGGTAATGAAATTAGGCATGCGGTCTACGCAATCAAAACATGCGGTATACGCAGGTAATGAAATTAGGCATGCGGTCTACGCAATCAAAACATGCGGTATACGCAGGTAATGAAATTAGGCATGCGGTCTACGCAATCAAAACATGCGGTCTACGCAGGTAATAGAATTAAGCATCAAGGGGAGTTTCACTGGTATCAATTCTGATACTTGGCTACCCTGCCATTCTACGTTTTATTTTCCTTTTTACTAGTAGTTTAAGCACATTGCACTGCCTCAGGCAGGTTTTATTTTCTTTCTTAAAATTCACACACTTTGCAAAACATGTGATGGGAATGAAACAAATCATTTTATTCAAAAGATGTTGCATTTGTGGATCTTCTGTGCATCGCATCGCAGGGTATCACACCATAATGTGAACGAAATTGAACTCATTTTGGAAATTTGCCATCGTAATAATCAGGTAGTGAACCGACTTACAACTCGATAAGCAAAACAAGGACATGACACAGCCAAACAAGTGTGAATACAACTCGATAAACAAGTCAAGAGCTCAAAGAGAGCGAAATACAACTCGATAAACAAATGTTCAAAATTCGACAAGTAGACAGGCGTGGCTCCGCAAGAGTCGATCGCCGGGGAGGGGTTGGAGGTGGTGAAGTTCCCCAATTCTTAGCATAAACAGCTCAAAAAACCAGAAGGAAGTCTACCGACATAGTGTAGGGACCACCGGCTGCAAGGAACGGCTACCGGCCATGTGTCTGTTTTGTCAGCAAAATAAAATGGCAGGTCGGCAGAGTTTTTGGCCGGCCGGCACTAAATGAGGGGGACCACCAGAATGTTGACACCTGTCCCCCACTCAACCTTATCTCCTACAAAAGATCCTAGCCTCGTAGTTTTTCTCATTTTCACACTGATTCGCTCCAATGGAAGAGTTTCTTGCTCAAAATCTGACAGCTTGGATTGTTAGCTTGGATGGCTCGGAAAAAAGTGAATTTCCGGGGTTTCGGCATAAATGCACTATTCACTCTAGGTCGCACCCCATTGCACCTCCCGTTTCTTCAAGCCGCGGCAAGGTTTTGGAATCCGGTGACACATGTCTTTAGCTTCGCCGGGCAAGAGATATGTCCTACTTTCGAAGACTTCCGAGCCTTAATGGAGTCCGAGCGCGACGAGGAACTCCTGCCCCAACTTAATTTTGGTCATGTCCAATCCTTAGGGCGCATGTGTGGACTCAGCATGCGTGACGCTCGGTCCCTGATTTGTGACGGGATGCTTGACATTCCGAGTTTGGCTAATCGATTTTCTGATGCTGGTGATCGCAACAACCATCACTGGCAAGGCTTCCGGCGACATGCCCTCTGCTTGTGCATGCTGTCCCATTTCCTGTTCCTCTCAGGGTCTGGAGGGGCTAGTATCCGGTTGATTGAGGTTGCCCAAGGCTTGAAGGAGGGCAAGAGCTGTATTGCCATGGCTCTGGCCGAGACGCTAATGGGCTTAGACGCCTTTTATCGTCATGAGACGTCCAGATTGGCGGGGAGTCCACTACTACTACAGGTAATGTTTCCCACCCAATCTCGCATTTATGTATTGCTCACATCACTCGGCCCTCGAGCTCGGTCTTTTCTCACAAAAAAAAACCCCATTCTCACTCTTCTCTCCTCGTACACCTCTCTATTCTTTAATCTCTCATTTTCCAATCCCTCCCCAGGTGTGGCTGATGGATAAACTGCAGGTTGTGGACTCCTGCCCTGCATATTCAGCTCGCGGCTACTTCTTTCGGCATCGTCTAGTCAATGCCTTGGATGAGGAATGGTGGTTCGCTTGGATGTGCCACTTGTCCGCAGACCGTATTGCTTGGCGGTGCCCTTGGCTGAACCTTCCGGCGATGAATTACAATATGCCTCGGCAGACTGGGATTCAACTGGTTGGTCTCACTCATTGTGTATTCTATTTCCCATTTCGGATTCGACGCCAATTTGGCCATGATCAGACCTGCCCGCCAGAGGGGATAGAGTATCCTGCTGCATTCCCAGCCCGGGGCGCACAGCTTGCTTGGCAGGCCACCGCGTGGAGGATGAGAGAACTCCTGGCCCCCGCTCCTACTTTCAGTTGCACTTTGCCTGACGAGTGCATAGATTGGCTCAATGAAGAAGCACAGATCGGGCCCATCTTGGCATCAGAAGCTTCGGCCAGCTCAGGGAGGGGGCGCAGGAACACCTGACTTGACCATGCCCTAGATTTATTGCTTTATTAGTACTTTCAAGTTTTCTCTTATGAATGTAATAAAAAGCAACTTCAATTGTATGTAAGAGCAGGAGAACTTTGTTTTGAAATCAAAGAAATTGAAAGTTGTGGCACAGAAAATTTTCCACCTTGGTCCAAAAACGGTCAAAGTTGTAAAAAGATTATTTGAACAAAGTCAGCTTATATTAAAACTTTTCAAAGATATTTTTGATGTGGATCAGAACTGGACACGCCTGAGATCTGTCACTCGAGATGCACAACCCCAGATTCCTGCAACTGGAAAGTTGCCCCTAGTCTGAAGAGCGCCGCAGCACTGCATAGCAACAAATTAGATAAAGAAGCCTCATTTTTTTGTTCTGAAAAAAACAAAAAAAAAAAAGACCTATGCTTTTTTATGGCTGAACTTCTTGGCATTCCAATTAAAGGATTGATGTAGTGTTTGCTTCATTGGACTGAAGGTGGAATGGAATGGTCATTTCTTAACCATAGGAATGACCATTCCCTTGCAATGGTGAATGATGATATACCATTTGCAATGCATTTTCTATCATTTTATAGTGAACCAAATGTGGGAATGGATATTCATTGAACCAAACACTACCTGACAGTCTTGTATGATGTCTTGAGCTATTGCTTTTAAAGAATAGGAGAATTTTTCTCCCATTTGAGTGCATTTCAATGTAGAAATATATTTTACATGTGCCAAGAGGGTAATCTGGGATTTTGGAAGTTCACCACATTTAATCTTTATCATGAATTTGGGAATCTTACTATTCAATCTACCCTGATGTATGTATATCACTTTGTATAAAATTAATGTAAGTATATTATTCATATAGCTTGAGTAATTATCCATGCCGCTAATACCCTATTCAAACTATCAATTTTAGCATTCTCAGCAGAATAAAATGAATTCTATCTTCAAAGATAACATCAACTTAAACCTGCCCTGTGGTGTTCTCTTCAGATACATACACTTGTGTATATCTATCATGATTTGTGGGTGGTTAACTCTACCACTTCCTTGATCATATGTTTCTTTGTCTTCTTTAGATTCCAATGTTCTTTTGTTTGTTGGGAAATGCAGGCGGATGTTGATAATAGTGGCACAATTGATTATGGGGAGTTCATAGCTGCAACGTTGCATCTTAACAAAATTGAGAGGGAAGATCATCTTTTTGCCGCCTTTTCATATTTTGACAAAGACGGCAGTGGTTACATCACCCAAGATGAGCTTCAACAAGCTTGCGAGGAGTTTGGAATAGAGAATGTCTGCTTGGAAGATATGATCCAAGAAGTCGACCAAAACAATGTAAGCGCTCCTATGATCTCATCACTATTCCAAAAAAAATAAAATAAATAAATCACATCACCATCTTCATATCTATGGTACATGTGGCTCATAAAATGAATTGAACTCTGATAAACATACATGGGACACCTTTGTCTTGCAACTATTTGGAAAGGCGAAAAGAACTTTCAGCCAACAATGACCTTGGAACTGGTTGGTCTGGATTTTGCACTTACATCCCACGTTTGAAATTGTAGTGTACTCAACGGTCAAGAATGACAACTTTTTAGGTTTAGGATGAACTAGTATGGGCATGAAGGACATATTCTTTTTCAACTGGTCTAGGTGTCTCCACTCAAGAAGTGAATCTGGCCAAAATTGTCTTTTTAATTGTGACGAAAAATGTTGAAATGCTCCTACTATTTCCTTCTTTTTTCTTTCTTTTTTTTTGGGATTTTGATTGACTAGTCATTAACCTTTCTGATTTTTAACTTTCAGGATGGCTGCATAGATTACAACGAGTTTGTGGCGATGATGCAAAAGGGAAATGTTGATTTGGGTAAGAAGCGTTTACAGAACGGTTTTAGCCCTGGATTTAGGGAGGCACTACCAGTTTGCTGACATAGTGATAAGTTTTGTTTTTGTAATTTTTTTTCTTTCATGATTTTGTATACGTTTGCATTAAATTTGAGGATCATTAGCTTCTGATAGCAAATGTAATTTCGTTTAGAACGTTGGAAACATTGTATTGGTCAAAGTTCTGTGGTATATATAGCAATTTCTCCATTTTCATGTTCAAATTGAGTGTTTCTTTGCAAATCGTTTGCTTTGATCCTATTACTCTTTTTTTTTTTCCTTCACATTTTTAAGATCTTCTTGTGGGTATTGCCTTGAGCCATGGTGTTTTTCAAAGCAGATGGAATGACTTTGTTGTGTTAATAGCATTTGAACAAATTGCTACTGGTTTTTTTTTTTTTTTTTTTTTCAACTGCTTTGGGAAACAAATGGTTTACTAGAGTTATATAAAGCTAATTCATTTTGGGTTTTGTTAGCGAATAGCCTAAGGTCATGTTTGATTTATAAGATTAATAGTGAAGTATTAATAATTCTATTAAATTAGTGTGGTATTCACTATCTAATTGGATTAATATCCATTGGATTAATATTCCTACCCCTACCTCATTACTAATAATCCTACAAATTTGTTAGATTAATTATCTATTGGATTAATAATCCTAAACCAAAATGTTAAAACAAACATAGGATAATTGAGCCCACGGATTAATAATCCCAATCTCATGCTCTAATCCACCCAATCAAACATGCCCTAAGGACATTGATTGACCTAACTTAAAATGATTGTAATTTTTTTATAAAAAAAGTATACAACTATTTTAAGGTTGATATTTAGTACATTTACGAGCGCTTCTTATCAAAATCTATTCATGTTTTACAAGATGGGTGGTCCATACTTTTCATGTGAAAGCAAGAACAGATCTTAGGCCTCGTTTGGGAACAGGCTAATTTAGTAACTTTTTGGCTATTTGGCTAAAAAAGTAGGTAAAAAAAACTTATATGTTTGGATGACTTTTTGGCTAACTACGAAAATATGTGCAAAAAGTAGAGAGAAAAGAGAATCTTTGACTTTTTGATATGAGTTGTTGACTTTTTGGCTAAAAGGGTAACTTTTTGACTTTTTGGCTAAAAAGATAAGTCCCCAAACGGGGCCTTAAAGACCATTGAGGCTTATTAGTCATGGGAGCGTATTATTGTCATATTGCATCATAATGCATTTTGTGCTTATCCCCTCAATAATTGTCATCAATAGTGGTTTAGGGTTTGCTAAAGTGATGGGATATGAGTTGTTTGATTAATACCTTAAGTGGGGCTTTGTTTGCTAAGTGATGGGATAGTGAATGTTGAGTGCATATCTTAGTGAATAAATTTTCAAATGCCAAAAATCAGTAATATATAGAGATTGATAATATTTTTTAAAAGTAGACTTCATTAATAATATCTGTAAAATCTTCTTGTTTTTTTTTTTGGATGTGTGTGTGTTTTTGATTTTATAATTAATTTCTGTGTTCATATCAAAATTATGTCTTACATACATTATTAATGACATTTTCAATCTAATTTAGATGCATGTGAGTACCAACTTCCATTGAAGAGACACATTTTGAAAGATTTTTGTGACATTCAGTGGACCCATCTCTAGATTAAGATTTGGAATACAATAAAGCCAATGTTCAAGGGATGATTATAAAAATGATTAGTGATATTGAATCAAAGCTTTTTATTATGTTTTTTTTTGTGGCAAAAGAATGATTTTGACAAGATGTGTAAGAATATAAAACTCGATGCAAAATCAATCAAATGAGTCTTATTTATCTTTTTGGGTACTTGTGAAGCCAAATACGCGCCTGCAATTATGTATGTTTTGTTGTTAAACCCTAACTAAACTACATAGTTGGTGTTTTTCATTAATGTGCACTATTTGTTATTTTATTTTATTTTATTTTTGTTTATTGTAATAAAATACGACTCCTAAGTGGGAGAGAACACATATAGGGGTGCATCTGGGGTTGTAACCCCACCCCCCTTTTTGATATGACATGAACGAGCATGGGTACTTCAGTTCTAATTTTTTTTTCAAAATTGCTTCCAATTGATAGTTTGAAAAATACTTGTTTGGTTTGTGTTTGTAGAGTAGTTTTTAAGATAGAAAGTACAAAAACTTGTTTGGTTTGCCTATTTCATAAATGATTTTGAAAAATTATTTTGGGTAGAGAGTTTTAAAAAAAGTGATTGATTTGATGTGTATGAGAGAGAGAGTGATTTTGGAAAATACGTAACCAAACAAAATTTTGAAATTTTTTTTGAAAAAATTTGTTTGGTTTGATTACTCTTGAAAATTTGTTTGTACAGAATTTTTCTCAAAAATTTTTCTGAAAAACAAACCAAACATGGCCTAAATATTTTACTCATGTTTTATAAAATATTTTGAGTTTAACTCTATTGTTCTTTATCGTCCTTCAATTTTATTTTATTTTATAAATTTTATTCTCCTCTGGATTACTTTCATCAAACAGTAAAATATTGTGTGTATAGGTAAGTTCTCGCATCTATTAGACAAAATTATGAATTCTACTTTTTTCCGAGGGAGTCGAAAATTGATTTCAAAATAAGATGTAAGAGTTTTTTACTAATTACGTTAACACATGTTTAATATGTGCTATTTGTCACCATGGGGTAGCATTTGATTTTGACTCTAATTTTGTAAGAGAAAATTGCTGTACAAATATGTTATGTTTTTGTAATTGATAATCTTCTTTGACAAAATTCCTTTCAATTGTAATTTTATTCATTTTTTTTTTTTTTGTTTCAGTGAAGCTATGAATATTTAGACGTGAATCCAACCCTAATTGTATCTTTGTAGAGGAGTTTGTACTGATATTCCGTATCTTGAGCATTCCTTATTTGCTACCTTGCAACTATGTATAGGGTCGAGGGGCAACGTCCTCAAAGCCAAAATAAGTCAAAGTTGTTTTACCGCTTGAGTAGTCATTTGTGCGCTCGAGCAGTTATGTGATTTATCCAGTATCTCTACTTGCAAATTAAACTTATGGGAAATATGTTTCATTGTTCGAACGGTGAATGTTGCGCTCGAGCGGTTGGCTTATATGTTTGCACCGCCTTTTACTCACACTGTTCGAGCGATAAAGTGTGCGCTTGAACGGTTTTTGTGACTCTATTTAATATGAAGTGTGTTGTTTGTGATTTTTAGGATGGAATCCATCCAAATTCTTAGAGAGGAGAGTTACTAAGGTTTTCTATATAGAATGGTGTTTATATATTGGTTTCCTTGATGATTTGAGAGTGATCGATTGATTTATGAGCTTTATATTGACATCATCAAGTGGTTTGTTTTTGTTGTTTCATTCACAAAATAGAGGTGTTCTTTAGTGGATTTTGAGGAACTTAAGCCTGAAACTTTAGTGAATTCTAAAGTGGCTCATCGTCATGAATTCGACATCGGCACTGTGGATTCAATGTTGGGCAAAGTAATTCAGAGGTGAAGATGGTAGTGGAAGAGACACATCGAGTTTGATTTAATTCGAACATTCGCTAGGTAATTGAGGGTATTTGTGTGTATTTTTTTTGTCTTCTTAGTGGATTGTTTTGTGATTTTGACCCGTGATTTTTTTATCACAGGTGTTCTAATTGTAATTTTTTTCACATTAAAGTCTTGTTTGACATAACCTATTTTAGTCCATCTTTTTATTTTTTTTGGATCACATCAATCAATATCTCCTCTTTACTTTTCTACATATTTTTTAATAAAAAGTCAAAAAGTACACTTATTTAAGACATCTCAAACCACTCCTAAACCATTGTACCAATTTATAGTTGATTGTTTGATTGTGATTGATATTCATTGTTTAAAATTGAAATATAATCATAAATTAATATCTCGAGGGTTTTTAAATTTTTTAATACACTTTACTTACAAATTGCCATGCCATATTAATGTGAAATTTTAAATTTAAAATGGGAATTATTACATTTAAATGATAGGAACAACTCATTATCACATCAATTTCTAGTTTGTATAAAAATTGGTTTGTATTTCTATTGCATTTTTTTTTTTTTTTGGGGGGGGATAATTTTCAATGCGTGAAAGTTGATAGCAACTAGTAATAATTGTGATTCTTTTTATTTTAACTATATAGTAATAATTTTGTATAGTTGTTTTAATCCTAGTCATCATTTAAAGGTTAAAAAGTATTATAGGATCACTTTAACCATTCATTACTTTAAATGTACAAGAATTAACTGAAAGTAATGCTTGATAACTTTTAATTACAGGATTTTTTAGAATTGAGATTGGTTAGTAACTTGGTTTTTAAGATTTTACCATTCTTGGAAAGTATGTATTTTTTTATTTATTTTTTAATCTTTATATTTCTCTTTGGGTTTGACAAAGACAAGACGGGACTCAAATCCTTAATTAAGGTTAAATTTGACATGTTTGAAAAAAGATAAAAAGTCAAAAAAGTCACTATCTTATTTAAGTCACATAATCTTATTTAAGTCACATCACCTCTCTAACACATCACTTCAAATCCAATCCAAACCCAACTCATATTTCATAAAAAGTCAAAAAGTATACTTATTTAGATCATCCCAAACAATCCCTAATTATACCTAATTTTAAATTGTAAATTTGTAGAGAGAAAAAAAGAAGAAGTAATTTTACTTACTTTTTCATAGTAAATGTTTTTTTTGGCATGTGTGTGATTGAATTATGCATCATCACACACATTTAATTAGTATCATTTTCAAATTTATATTTTATTTACTAGAACTAGGAAAGAAAAACATATAAAAAATTGTCAATTAATATCAGCCAAAAGGAATAAATAAAAATACAATAAATAAACAAATAAACTTCTCTAAAAATGCGCTCTATTTCAAACCCCTCTTCATCACACAAGTTAAAAGGGAGCGTCTAAATACACATACTTAGGGGTAGTTTGGGAAATTGTTTAATTTAACTTTTTGATTATTCTAATCTGGTTAATAAAGTTTTATTTGGGATAAATTTTTAGCTTTTTTATTATTTTGTGAGAGAAAATGTGAAATGATTATGGTTTAAATGTAATATTTTATTTTATTAGTTATTTAGCCTATTTTATTTTTTAATGGGCTAAATTAATCCCAACATCATGTCAAACGGGCCTATTTTCCTTCTCCACCTTTATTTGTTTATTTTTTTATAACTTATGGAGAAATTCTT